CCGGTTGTTCAGAAATCATCAATGTTTATTTTAAACCATATAAAACGGTACTAAATACAAATATGTTAGTATAATATAAACACAAACGAATTATTCATCATTTACAGTATCGCGTAGAGGCGAGTCTAAAAATCATTGTCAAAATGGGATTGGAAACGCAAACGATAACGTTACTTGGCCGCGGAGTCGAGCGTAAACTACGAATAAGCGATCTCGACATTAATTTTCCATCCACAATACTTTTTACTGAAGTGCAGGAAAAAATATTTACGATCGAAAATACTTGCGATTATCCCGTGGAATTTTTCTGGCAGCATCTCGATAGGTAATCGATGTAGGCAAACATAAATTAAATATTAATTAGATTATAAACAAAAGTGAAATAAAGGAAAACAATAAAAAAGATTCTACGTATTTATGGAAATTGTCATAAATAAAGATATCTAGCTATTTTCTCATTTTGCGATTAACATAAAAGCAAAGGTGATAGATGAAATGACGTGGAATGAACTAAATAAATCGATGCGTCTCGCAGTCTTTTTCTAGAGGAGGAACGACTTGCTGAGGCACTAACTCGCTACTACGGAGTTGAAGAAATCCTATTACCGCCTCGAAAACTTGGAGAGAGAATGTCATCGTTTTTAATGGAATTCTATAATAATCTCATAAGTGAGATGTCGTATGCCTTGTTAGCGGAAGCAATTGAAGAAAAAAGTATCACTGTGTCGAATGGTATATATTAAGAGTCCTCGAAAACAATTTTTTTTTTCCTGAAGATCAACTTTAACTGTAACTACAAGATAAAAAAGATTTTAGAAATTAATTATCTTATTTTTTTAACAAGCAATATTTGTTTGAAAAAATTTTTAAATTTAGATTATGACGCAATGTATAATGATGTTTGAATAGACAACGACGAACTGTCAGAACACATGACTAGAAACAAAAAAACAAAAAAGCCATCTAATACATCAAGATTATCTGATCAGCACTCTCGGCAAAAATCGAAAATAGATCTGCAAAAGGAATCATAAATGGCAAAATGGCAACGGAAAAAATCTACCAATCAACCGCTCATATTGCCAACAAGCGATCCCGAAGAGCTTCAAAATCTACTCCTCTGTGAGTTATTTTATCATGAAAAAATAAAAGTTTTTCTGATGTAATTTTTATTTAGTTTTATTTATTTGCTAAAATAATTATTATAACTTTTATGTTTTTTTTTTAGGTTACATAGAAACTTTACGTAAAGATCCCAACTTCTATGAGAGAATGAAAAATCCCGTAAAAGATTTATTTGATAGTCTTGAAACAAAGACAATTCCAGAACTCGAGATAATGGATCCTTCGCAACCGGTCAAAAAAATTTGCATCATCTTTCACGGTGCACCGTTCACTGGTAATTTTGTATACGGTGGAGATATACGTAAATAACATTTACCAAATTGCTCTATTGTTTAGAATATCAAGAAACTGCTTGCAGAAGCGCTACAGTATTGCAAGTACCAATATTATGTATAGATAAAGTCATTATCGAAGGTATAGCACTCGGCAATAGTTGGTCCTCTATTAAACTACGACAGATTATCGATGAAGCTTATCAGAAATATTTATTAGCGCTCGAAAAACACAAGTAACTACAAAAAATTACTAAGAAAATTAAATTTTTATGTATAGATAAATTAAATAGTCTGTTTAGAAAAAGATTTTTATTTTCTTATTAAAAATAAAAATGAGAGATTTAAAATTTTTCACATTAGAGATGTTTTGGAAACTGGACTGTCAGCAAAGAAAGAGATCAGCATTGAAGTCGCGGAACATAAACAGAAAATAATCTCAAAGGAAGAATCACCTAAACAAACAAAATCACCTAAACAAATAAAATTATCGAAAGCAATTAAACTTGAATCAGAAGCGACGACAAAAATCGATAAACATATCGAAAATGACGCTCGGGAATTAATTATTTTATTGGAGACGGAATTTGCGAAGATTCCAAGAGAAGAGGATTTGAAATATTTGGATCCTGTGAGTCTTTACGAATGTAAGATTCAAACTATTTTGCTACTGCAGAAAATTCTTTCGCATAACGCGGCGACAATTGGATCAAAAGTCAACGAGAAAGATCAGGATAACACTTTCCTCGGAATTGAAATTGGCTTGTTCATCGAAATTCTTCGAGAAAGGTAACATTTGACATACATCAATTTTTAAATAATATAAAAGTGTTGCGTCTCTCAATTTACGTGTTACATTTAAGTAAGTATACCACATATCACAAAATATATTTATAATATATATTTATATAAATATATAATATCTGCAAAAAATGTTATATCTTACATTTAATTATATATGCCGATATTTTACATTAATTGTAGATATTAATTCATGGTAAATGTTCGAATTAATTTATACCTCACGGATCGTTTTCATTTTTATATATATTGTAGAGGATCATTTTTATATATATTGTATATTTTTAATTCATGCAGTCACATTAAAAGTTGTTAACGAACTGCAAGAAATAGGTGAAACACATTATTGACAAAATTTCCATGACCGTATACCTATCCCGTAAATGTAAACAAACACTTTTTCGTCTGTTCTACAACAAATACAATGTACACAAACTTCACTTTTCTTAATATTACTTTATAATACCTGAGAAGAAGACATTAAAACTGTGAAACTTTAAAATCGCATATCTCTGGAACCAGAAGAGAGTGCCACAAAATTCAAAGCGTGTATTACTTAGGAATATACCCTCTACAATATATGTAGAAATGAAAACAATTCGTAAGATGTTAGTTAATCCGAACATTTACCTAATTCATTAAATATTTATTTTGACTATAATTTTCTGCATATATATTTTAAACTCTTTTAATCTTTTCTTTATATAATCTATTGCTATTTTTAACAAATAGATTATCGTCGTCAGATTTCGAGA